CATGGGTGATCACTTTATAGACATGTTTTTTATATATTTGTATCTGAGACCTATGCTATTGCCTAAACATAGCATGATAGGTGACCTTCAAAGTATCATAACCTTTTTCACCTTTTTTACTCTTTTTACGGCAAATCCTGAATAATATGTTAAAGCAAACGCTGCTGTTGTGTGTAAAGCTTCATTATTCCATTGTTTTTGCCACTTGGGAGATATGGAAAAAGCTTTACAATACTGGCATATTATCATTATCTAAAGAGGCAATATTCTGCTCATTTTCAGGTTCATGTTAGTTAGCAGTGTTTCTACTGGGACATGTCTCCATGCTTTAATGTTCAAAAAGCCCTTTATTGTTCTCATACTGCCTGTGCTGCAGCACCTCTTTTCACCCTCTGTCTGAAACCAGAGCCCAGTCTGCTCTGATTGGTTAGCTGGTCGGCTCTGTTGTGATTGGTCAACCGCTTAGAGATGTCCCGCCCCTTAGCATGTAAAATGTGTGTTGGAGCGCTAGCCAATAGAAGCTCAAGTGTTACATAGTGGTTGATAAACTTTCATAAATTGACGAAATGTATCTGTTAACATCTCTGAACATTTTGGGATATATGTATTTTTTATAATTTTGCCAAGATTAAGACAGCTCTGTGAAGTAAGGCAGCTGAAAGACGCGGTGCAGTGGAACCTCTTCCCCTCTGCAGACATGATTCTCGGCATGATAAAGGAATACGGCACATATCCGGAGTACTGGGAGCAGAAAGTCGAAACAAACCATGAGCTGGACATGACCTCTCTGCCTGTCACCCGCATCAAAAGACATGCGCCGCTCAACACGTACAACAAGGAGTTCATGAGATTGAAACACGACAGACAACAGTCCAAGGACTTCATTCAGGTGCCTAAACTAAACTCAGTCGAATCTAACTTCCTAACAGAGCCACTCACATTGTGTTACATCATTTTCCAGGACAATATTAAAAAGGTGCAGGTGGAGAGTGAGCGCTTGCAGAAGCAGGAGGCGGCTGTGATAAAGATGGATCAGTCTGCAGAAAGACCAACACACAACTACAGCATCCAGACCTACAACTCCACTGAGCTAGAGAAGGAGCTGCTGCGCAAAGAAATGGCTATGGTTTGATGAATGGAGTATAATGTAGATTTATAGATACTGTACAAAGGTCACAGGTACAGCTTGGTGTCTCGTTATTCTTTTTCCATTAAGGAACGCCTCGCTGCACATTATCCCGCTTATTACACCGCTACCTAATGAATGAACCAACGATTTGACTCACAGCATTGATTTACATTTGATCGTATTGCTTCTGCTAAGAAAAAAATAGTCCATCCGACTCGATTTTGTGCTCTCAACAAATATAAAAAACAATATTAGAAAAGTATTCCACTGTGTTTTCTGACGGGGGAAAACTAATGTTCGTTGACGTTAAATTGACAGGACTTCATTATGTGGATTAATATGACTGTACATATTCCCTTCATTAGAGTGTCCTGCTTAGCAATGGTCTGTTCTACCTAGCAACAGTCTGTTAGCGAAAAAGAGCTGACCCCAGAATTTTCGAAATCGACCAATCAGCATCGAATATTCAACCAAGCCGTGTAACAACGTGCCTTAAACTGCATCACCACAATGATAATGCAACATGTACAAATATTAATAAGAACTTGTTTGCTATGAAGAATCTCTTAGTATTTCCGTTTAGTGTTGTATGCATTCAACAATTTATCCTTTATGCTTTCCTCATGCAACATGTATATCATATAATGATTCATTCATGTATTGTGCTTCTCTGGTGATAACTCCAGGTGCCAGGGCGCAGGTTCACCTACAGCCAGCAGTACCAAAGTGCTACAGTAGAACAAGGAGAAGTCACTCTGAAGAAAGACTCAAACTCCACCGCTGCCGCCACACTTTGGCTCAGAAGTCTGAGCAGTGACAAGTCCACGAGACATCCCAAACACCCAGATGAGGCTCGAGTGGAGGAGCTGAGGAAGGTGATGCCACTTCATAGGAACAGGACTCTTCAGTTTACTGGCATCCCAATGTATCTGATCACAGGGATAATATTTGGATTGGTACACACTGTACTTTCTTGATGAATTCCAATAGTAACCTTGCTAGTGTATCCAGTGTAGGGTTTAATTGATAATACTAATTGTTGGGAAAACACTGAATGTACTCTTCCAGGTATCCCAACTGTAGCTGTGAACATGACAGGATGTGTGATTACCTAGAAGAGCATCAGGACTGTTTGAGGCATATGATAGCTATGTGATTAACATGATGATTCAGCCTCTATGGAGAGAGACATATGACAAGCATGATCATTTCTGACGTGGAGCTAATCTGAAGTAAACATTGAATACTGCTTTCTATTCCTCCATCTTGTGACTGTGTAACTCCCTCTCTTGGATATCAGCATGTGAAGGACACTGTTCAGGAACTAGTTGATGCTCTGTATGTGATGACTACTTCCATTCTGGAGAGGATCACAGATACATGGATCCGGAGATTGAAGCTCAAGCCGGTGACTAGTGATATTTTTCTAACACTACTGGTCACTGTGCTTTCAGCCATGGAGGGAGAACATCCTTCATGCCGACCTATTAAAGCAGACACTTTCAAGGGACGTTTGGGGCTGGAGCCGGCGCTGTGAGGACTTCCACCTCCTCAGCAAACCTCCACCTGTGTTCACCCCGACATCCATTAACCTGGCAGGTAGGCTGTGCTGCATCAATGTACCACAACACACTTTTAGCTGCTTAAAGTGTTACAGTGGTTTAGTGTTGTACTGGCTTGTTCTTCCCTTTCCTGCGAGTAACTGGCCAACTGCTAACCAGATGTCACAGAGATATTTTCATTGTAGCCATTAAAAAACATCGGGTGTAAATTCAGTGTCAGAATCAAAGCGAGGGTTCAGGAGGGAAACAATGAGAAACCCATCATAGGCTGCATACAAATCTTTTTCTGGGCTGAACAGGCCTCAATGTCGCATGTTGTGAATGAAAACTATCTACATATTTCTACACAATTTGAGGTAAAGTTTGTGGGCATAGCCTACAGTGTTAGGAATTCTTAAACACCGAGACTAGGATAAACTGAAAAGAGTCCAAGGAAGCTTATACAAGTTAACAGCATTTAATTAAATGAATAATGCAATGATATACAGATGAGACTGTTCAAGTTGGGCGATCCCCCCCTCAGGTCAGCTGATACCCGTTCGCGTGGGGTGCTGGGCGGAAGAGAGATCGATACTTGGCTTGCTTCTCCTGTTATCATCTGTGGTCTTCTCCTATTGGCCGGCGTCGACGAGGGCCTGTCCAATGCAAATCCTGTTGTTAATTTACACTATTCTAATGTATGTGGTTATTTAACATTCCCTAATAAAAGTATTTCAGTGTCAATAAGTGAGGGTTAAAGACAGTGTTTTTAGTGTGCAACACTCTGTGTCATTTAACCTTAAATTCACTGTTTAAAACGTAGTCTCTAGCCACATGCTAATGCTAACTTTAAATTGAAGCTAACAATATATTTACTACCAAAACCCGAAGTCGTTGTGTGAACTTCCGTTTTCAGAATAAAAGAGTTTTAAATAAAAACAGTGTATTTCATTTAAATTACGCCATATAAACATTGATTTTATTTCTTACAACAGCCAAAAGCACAACAGTTTGAACTTGATAGCATTAGCTTGCATCTTAGCGGTGGCTAGCAGCATAGCTCCACTTTACCCCAGGCTGTTGCTATGGTCACTCCCATGTGGTTATTACTCTCACAACACAAAAAGTTTGCTACTCCTGCTTTAAAGCAAGCCTTTACAGGATATTTGTTAATCTTAGATAAATGAAATGACTTATTGATAGAGATTTAGAGGAAACAGAACCAGTGAATAATATATCCCAGCTGTTTGTCTGACAGAAATCAGTACGCCATTTATCCGAAACCACAATAAAGCATTCAAGAATAGTTTCAAACATTCAACATCTTCATTGTATTTTCAGAACTCGATGTCCCTCTCAGATCTCACTGTGTCAATTAACTGTTTTGTTATGGTCGGGGTTTTTTTTAAAGATCCTTCCAGCATTCAAAAGCCAAATGGATTGCATTTATTTTAAGATCAAAAGATTGTTTGTTTGTAACCTTTATTTATCCAGATTGGTCCCATTGAGATCATATATCTCTTTTTCAAGGGAGACCTGCAGCAATTAGGTTCCACATGAAACATAAAACAACATAAAACAATAGAGGATATCATACAACATATTTACAAGCTACATTTACATACTTTTCAACATTTACCCAAATACTCATAGTTTCAAAGAGTATTTCATTTAGCCTAGCTTTAAAAACATGCAGAGGAATAAAATTGCTCAGTTTCAATTGTAGCTGTAGACTGTTCCAAGCAAGTGGAGCTGCGCACATAAAAGCTGTCTTACCTAAGACAGTCCTTGCTCTTGGCACATCTAACAATACTACATCATGCGATCTCAGACAATAGCTGCTTGCAACTCTCTGTGTTATCAGAGAGCAGATATAATACAGGAGTTTACCCAACAAAGCTTTATGAATAAACGTGTACCAATGACTGAGCCTCTTTACAGTAAGTGAAGGCAAACCTGCCTTGGCGTACAGGGTACAGTGATGAGTAAGTGCTTTACAATTAGTGACAAATCTCAGTGCGCTGTGATAGGCGGCATCTACCTTGTTCAGGCAATAGGCAGGTGCATTCATATGATCAGATCACCATAGTCCAGCACAGGTCAAAGGGTCACAGTGACTAGCCTTTTCCTGGCTTCAAGCGAGAAACAGGACTTGTTTCTGAATACTAAAGTAGTGAGTTATGGAGTTGATTTGTAGCAGAAAAGTTCATGGTTGTTTGATGAGTAAGTGTTTGATACAGGGGGGCTGAGATGGATAGAGAGTGATGGGATATCTTTAGTCTGGTTACATGTACCCTGTAGCTTATTATTGGTTTATATGTGTTTCGCTCAGGTAAAGACTTCAATTAGGCAGTTTCCAGAGCTGGTGTCTCATGGATAAAGTGTTTTTGAAATTAATATTGTTACTGCTTGCTGTGCAGAGCTTTGTTTATCCTTGTGGACTACTACTACGACAAATATATTCTGATTTGACATACTGATGCTACTGTCTTCTTGGGAGAGGAACCCAAAACTCTCAATTGTTTTTGCCTCCAATGTTTGGGTCTTAAATACTTTTTTAACCAACAACGGTAGAAATCATGGGGAAAAGACGATGGTTCTGAGTGACTGGAACTAGTATTTATCAATGCATTAAGGTCCACAGTCTATCCAAGTTTCAATTTTTTCCTACAACTGTGGGCTGTGAGCTTTTCTCAGTATTGAGATGTTTTGATTACAGCTCCAGATGGCTGCTGTTTGAGCCAATGTCAATTTTTGCTGCTGAGTAACAAACTCCCACGACGAACAGGAGAACAGATATCAGCAAGGAAATGAAATGTTAATGTTTAAATGTCCGAGAAATCATAACAATGTCTTCCCGATTTAACTTACCAGTTACCTAAGATAAGATAAGAAGTACTTTATTGATTCCAATTTGGGAAATGTTTGCGTTGCATGCAGCATAAAAAGATGTGGTATTGTACACTAAAAATTCAAAGACTAGAAATAAACACAAACATTCAAAAATGTCAACATCTCATGAAAATATAAAATAGCATTAAGTTAAGTAGAAAATATACATGTTGAATTACAAATGTACGGTAACAAATATAAAGCAGGATATTACATATACATAAGTAGTTGAGGAATGGAATATGAAATATTAGATTGAATATAAATGTAAAATGTACAGAGTGAGAAGCTATGCCAGCCAGATGTGATTTGTTACCAGAGATGGCAAAAGTGCACACATCTTTTACTCGAGTAGAAGTACAGATACTCGTGTTTAAAAATACTCTGGTCAAAGTAGAAGTACTGACTAAACTTCTTTACTCAAGTAAAAGTAAAGAGGCTTTGAAATGTACTTCAGTAAAAAGTACCCATAACTAGCAGCTGTTTTAAAGAGTACCTGACCTCCCTTTATATTAATAGAACAATAATGTCATTGTTAGCTAATGAATGTTTCCATGCTGAACAACGGCAACATGACAACGTTTCCATTGGTCCCTCTTCTTTAGAGAAGACCAGGAAATGATGGATACACGGATCGTGTTCAAATCAATAGGCACGCAATGACTCTAAATAATAATGATCACGCCACCAAACACACATTCAGACTAAAGGAACCAGCCTGTTTGGAAAATGTAAGAAGTAGAAAGTACAGGTATTTGTGTTCAACATGTAAGAAGTAGAAAGTACAGGTATTTGAGTTCAACATGTAAGAAGTAGAAAGTACAGGTATTTGTGTTCAACATGTAAGAAGTACAAAGTAAAAAGTCGTCAGAAAAATAAGTAGTGGAGTAAAGTACTGATACCAGAAACATGTATTTAAGTACAGTAAGTATTTGTACTCCACTACTTCCCACCTCTGTTTGCTATATAGAGTTAAGATAATACATAAAGAGAAAAGTGTAAAATGGGCTGAGTTTTATTGCTCTGGATCCTCAGGAGAGCGTCTCCATCAGGAGCAGCTGGAGGCGGCTCGGACTCAGTACTGTCGCTGGATGAAGAAACTGCTTCCTGAAGGCAGAAGTTACCCAGCATGCAACAGCCACATCCCAGAGTTCAAGTGTCTTATTGGAGGAAACTCAGAGAGGATTCAGGAAATACTGAAGGATGAGCCCGATAGGTATTCACTGAGGAAAGGCATGGCGCTGAAGGTACAGTATGTTAGGTTGTTACTATGACTTAGCTTCATGCCATTTAAAACAAGATATATCTTTAGGAGGAAAGACTGCTAGAAATGTGGGGAAAATCCAACATTGCCCAGAAAAAAGAAAAAAAAGAAGACTTAAGAATAATCTCATGTCTTCATCCAAAAAGCAATTTAGACATTTAAATATAAAGAAAACAATTAATATAGCTCTTAAAATGTGGCTAATTTGAAGCCACTGTCACTATTGAAAGCTAAATAGCTGAATGAAATGTAATCACCTCACAGTCATACCTCATTCACAGGTTCTGCTTTCATTTTTTCAAATACATTTTAGGCCAAAATAAGAACTTTGTTTATCCTGTAAGGCAGCAAAGAACTCTATATTGTCTCGTGTACTCTGATAGCATTCCTATTAAGCCTATTTCTTGTTGCTCCGTTTTTGGCCCCTCCTCCTCCTCAGGTAAATGTCTGACTCTTTAGCCGCTAAACGCTCCACTGTGTTACCCAGCTAACCGTGTCTGTCTACTGTTTGCTGCTGAACAGGAAGTGCACAGTGGGTTTTCAGAGACTATTCACTGGAAACAGCTGCTTGCTGCATTTTAAAAGGGAAAACAATAAACCAAAACCAAAACAATAAAGTTAAAAGCAAGCATAACAATGAGCTGAAACTCACTTTGATGCTCTGTCGAGTCGAGGGAGCTGCACATTGAGGATATTATTCTCTGTGGGTTAACAACTATGAGCAACCTGTCACTTTGTTTCAGTGATTTGATAGAGTGGTGCCGTGATGGCGTTTTTTTTTAGGACAACCACGAAGTAAGCATTGCAAGGGCTCCGTATACAAAAAACAATGGGATTACCCCTTTGGATTTGAGTATGAAGAATATAAGATATGTGGCTTGTTCAGCAGGACAATCTGGACCTATTAACACAACTTTGTCATTTTTGAAGTGTAAATGCAATAGCCAGAAGTAAAAAGCTATCTTTAGGCTGTAAACAAACGACATCACGGCTGCGCATCACCACTGCTAAGCTAAAGGTGGACTTGAGTTGGCATGATGACGTTTAGTAGTTTATTATCGTAACTTTTTTTTTAAGCAACAACCTTTTTGATGACACATTTTTGTCATTGAGGAGTTGGGTTTTTACTTTGTTTGATTTCGTAGAACAAAACGTGAACATTTCTTAGGCTTTTTGTTCACCACTTAACTAAAAATATGTAAAAAAAAACACTCACTTAGAGACGAAGGAACCAGAAGTTGTAAAATGCAGATACATTTCTGGGCTTTACGACTCATTCCTGCTCCACTCTTTGTTATTATCTCTTATTGTTAAGATAGACATGCTATAGCTAATGTATTGTCTGTTGTTCATAATGCTTGCCTCAGTTCGGTGTCCGTTAGCATGTTTTTATCCAGGTTCTAGTTACCGTTGACTTTAACCTCCAGTTTGTTTTTTTTAGCCAAAAGCTGTTTTATGTCTTGCAGCCTTTCCCTGAACTCTCTGTGATGAACCTGGACGACAGTAAAGATGAGAGGAAGAGGAGAGGGGCTCTGGCTCCAGGACCCTGTGTGGACTGCAGCCTCAGCAGCAAACACAACGCCATCGAGAGACACACCTCTCTGTACAACAAGTACCACTACATGTCAGTTTAACTTAGTGTTTTTTATTCAAAAGAACAAAACAAGATAGTGAAATCATGAGGTTTAATGTGCATGTGGTATGTCCTGTTGCTTCTTACAGGAGCTTCAAAAAGCAGCCTTCGTTTCTGTACAAGCGGACCGCCCTGCCTCTGACGGACAAGGAGAAGAGCATCTTCACTTTTCAGAAGTATGCACCCAGCATGAAGACACAAACATCATCTGAGCAGCACTAAACTCTAAGAGCACTTTGAATAAAACTCATATAATTCCATCTGAGGGGTTATCCTTGAAGCCATGGTTAATAAAATACAGTAACTACAATATAAATCGCTTGATTTATTAATTAACTGCACCAAAAAAACTCATCCAAAGTCATAAGAATAGTATAGACAAATTGCTGTCGCAGAGAATTGAACTGGTCCATATGGTCCAATCAGAATGCAGGATTCCCAGTCACATGGTCAGGCTCAGAATGTTCTCTCCAGAGGGTGAGAGCACACGTAGCCTCTGTTGTCCAACACCTCCTTGGCGATCTTCTTGATGTTGGCATCGTTGTTTTCAGGAGAGTCTGGAAATAATTAATACGACAATTATAAGATTACTTTAATTTGTTAAAATGGCTCTATTGTGCTTTTGTTTCCCTTTCCTGTAGTCTGTTATAGGTTTTAGTGCATGTCAATGGTCTGCAAAGGCTAAAATCCCCCTTTGTTTACTTCTGTAACACAATGCCATCAGAATGTAACAAGTTCAGCGTGATAGGCTAAGGGGCGTGACATCTCTAAGCAGTTGACCAATCAAAACAGAGCCGGCCAGCTAACCAATAAGAGCAGACTGGGCTCTGGTTTCAGACAGAGGGTGAAAAGAGGTGCTGCAGCACAGGCCGTATGAGGAACACTGATATACACCTGAACATCAGCAGGAGAGGACTCTTTAAAGTAGAGACACTACATACTGATATACACCTGAACATCAGCAGGAGAGGACTCTTTAAAGTAGAGACACTACATACTGATATACACCTGAACATCAGCAGGAGAGGACTCTTTAAAGTAGAGACACTACATACTGATATACACCTGAACATCAGCAGGAGAGGACTCTTTAAAGTAGAGACTCTACATACTGATATGAACCTGAAAAGAGCATTATATGTCCTCTTTAAATACCAAACACAAAGTTCTCCTCTCTCATGTCACCTGATAACTCTGGATTACATGCAGGTCATTAAAAACCATGCACAGTGTGAGAATGCAAAGCAGCGAGGGGTTTCGGGTGTTGGTATGTGGGGTTTGTGGGAAATTCCGCAACACATGCAAGTCTTTTGTACCGAGATGCAGTAAAAAAAAAGCCAAGGCTCTGTTCTCAATTACCATCTCGTGTTGTACTTACGCTTTTGCAGTTGGGTCATCCAGTAATTGTTCTTGAAGAAAGCCTCAGTGCAGAAAGTGTTTGCGAGCAGCACCTAGAGAATAAAAAAAACAAACACTTGTTTATCAAACTAGAAAATACACAATTATGATGTAGAATGCAATTTAAAAGCAATAGAAAGTTATTGAATGTGAACAGAGACAGCTACAAACATTTGTTGTTTCAATTTCTATCTGCAACACATCAAGTGGAAACATCTCGCACACATTTCATCAATAACCCAAAGGTTTTACTTTACAAAAATATGTCAATTTAGGCTTCCTCCGGTTCTACAAATAATGCAAACAAGTCTAAATAGGTTACCGGGTAGAAATCAAACATCAGAGTGGACGACACTGGATGAAAAGCTTCTTGATAGAAGACATATTCGCTTTTTTTAAATAACTTCAATTACTTTGCGAACCTCAGGCGAAACATTTCAGTCCTAAAGAAAAACAGTCACGACTGACTATCTTCTGACAGGATCTCTACAGCCTCTGTGTTTTACATAAAATACAAAAAGTGGACGGCTGCATGTTGCATTCTGTCAGAGGAGAGGAGGATACAACATCATGTTGTTCTTTTTTCTTTCTTAATGCTGTGGGCCATGTTCACATGTCTGCACCGCCCTCAAGTTTACATAGCACGGTGTAGTTTGCCATACTCATTTTCCTAAGTGTTTTTGATTTTTAGCTGTTAAGGTTATTTGTATAGTTATATTTAAATTCTATTTTTTGGATAACGCCACTAGTTGCAAGAATAGGTCAAGTTGTATAGAAGTCTATGAGAATTTAAAGTGGACCTATCATGCTATATTTGAATAATATAGTGTAGGACCATACCTATATAAGGCATATTTATACTTTTTATTTTTCAAAATAGCAAACAGATCATGCATTTTAGCCATTCCTCATTTCGCTCAATTTAACACTGTCTTTGCATCATGGGCTGATTCTGTGAGAACAGCACCATCTACAGGCCTGGCATATGTACTACAGCGTCTCCAGCGCTTTCCAACGGCAACGTCCGTGGCTGTCTCCTCCTGATTGGTGGAGTTGGCCCAATAGCCGTAGCGCCACTTCTGTGACGTCATAGAAGTGTTCAAATCTGGATCAGTCTGTATCAGATCCGTTGCAGCCCCTTTTTAAGAGATTTGGGTATGGAGGAAAATAGAGAGGGTTGTGTTTTCTGACACTTGGTGAGTTCCCTGGAACACCGGGGACACATGTTCATGTATAAAAGACGTACAAAAGTGCATTTTGCATGATAGGTCCCCTTTAACACCATTTTTCACTTGAATAATCAGCGCAGTATACATTTTCCTTACAAGTTTGTGGCCTCAACCGGTCATTTCAAGTCTTCCTAAATACAGCATGATGTTCTATTTGTAAAATATCTGTAAAACATTCGGTTTTGTCTTGTGATTTTAACCCTTTGACATCCTGCATTTAGAAAATGAAAGTAAAAGAAAATCTCAAACCTGTGTGTGACGTCAAGTTGAATACGTCCACGTCTAATATAAAGTATATTGAGAGTACTGAAGCTGTTCATGTTACAGTGTGAGCCTAAATACTGACCAATGGTTTAAGGCAGTCCTTCCCAAAGTGAGGTTAGCGACCCGTTTTTATATTACCGCCAGATTGGCTTATTGAGATGCATTAATTTGCCAGTTGTAATAACAGAAGAGCGTTTCTGCTCAGCTCAGATAACATGTGGAGCCGGTGGTGAGAGACGTAACATTACACACTGAATTATTGCTTTGATTTACTTTATTTAGTCTTCTCTCCACCACACCCTCCTCTCCGGCTTACTGATTCTTATTTTCCAGTGGCAGTTCATAAGTTCATCGTGAGCTGCTGAGGAGAAACATTACACTGTGATGGACTTTTATAACGTTTTAAAATCATGGTTTGCTGTGTTCTTGGTCAGTAGTTTTTAAATGTAGATGGTAAAGCTATTCCTCGTGTGTTTTTGAGTCCTGGAAGAATCAACATGTCTCTTTTGGGAAGAGTAGGAACCCCTGGTGTATTGGAAGAGAGGCAGCTGTTTACTGTCAGTTATTATTAGTGTAGCGGCCAAAATCATATAGAGATCAAACTGATAATTAACTTAAAATAACACTGCTGCTGAGGCGCCAGTTAGCAAATCCTACGCAATGATCCAAGTCCAGACAAGAATCTCCGTTTGTACATTTTACAGGTTTCCTATATTTCTTTCCTTAAGCCTTTCCTATGGCCTATGCCCAAACATGCCTTCACAAATAAAAGCTTAGAAATCACTTTTACTCACTTCAATAACTAAGAATACATTTACTATGAACAACAACAGCAAGAAATTAAGTGTTTTAGTGTTAAATAACATAAAGAGATATATATAGCTCCAACAATTAGTGATATTTTAGATATCACCAATCAGTTGATGGAGATGGAAAAACTGCTCTCACCTTAACCTCTTCCTCAACTCGTGTACATCCTCTGTGTGTGTGTGTGTGTGTGTGTGTGTGTGTGTGTGTGTGTGTGTGTGTGTGTGTGTGTGTGTGTGTGTGTGTGTGTGTGTGTGTGTTGTGTACACACCTCGTGGTCGTGGTTCCTGAGCCCGATGCTGATGGAGCGGCTGGTTCTGGACAGGACGGCTGTCATGGCGTAGAGGTGGATCAGAACATCTGCCACTCTCTTCAGGACCAGCTGCTCGTTCACTAGGGTCTGAAAAAAACAAGGACACTTAAAAAAAACAACCTAAAAAGGACAAATGCTGTTGCTTCTACTTCTGTGTTACGGCTGCCTTCAAAAAGGTCCATCTTTCTTAGACATTTTCTTTATTAATGTCTTAAAGAGGACATATTATGCCAGGTTCATATTTGAACTTTAATGCTTTTGCTTTAATGTAGAAAAAGCTCTTTATTACTTTTAACCCTCTGTCTGAAACCAGAGCCCAGTCTGCTCTGATTGGTTAGCTGGCCGGCTCTGTTGTGATTGGTCAACAGCTTAGAGATGTCCCGCCTCTTAGCCCATCACGTACAATGTGTTGGAGCGCTGGCCATAGAAGTGCAAGTGTTACATAACTAGTTGATAACGTTTCGTAAATGAATGGGACTGAACCAGAACACGTACAATGTGTTGGAGGACTAGCCAATGGGAGCATGAGTGATACATAGTGATGTCACTACAGTATATTAAGGAAGTAAACAAAGGATTTCAGGCAAGAAGGGGTATTTAGGAGAGAAACTACCTCTGGAGGGAACACAGGGATTTTAGCCGTTGCAGACCGTTTACATGCATCAAAACCTATACAACAGCACAGGGGGAAAGCAGAATAGGGCCTTCTCTTAATAATGTCCTTTTAATATGTGACACACACTCATGGTCGATCGTCAAGTTTGATTTTAGGCAATTTGATACTCAAGGTCTTATTCTTTATGACNTTTGAAGGTCACCTATCATGCTATTTTTAGGCAATAGCATAGGTCTCAGATATATAAAAATATATAAAAAACAATCAAGTGTTTTGCTCAAAATATCAATTTGATATTTTGAGCAAAACACTTGATTGTTTTTTATATATTTTTATATATCTGAGACCTATGCTATTGCCTAAAAATAGCATGATAGGTGACCTTCAAAGTATCATAACCTTTTTCACCTTTTTTACTCTTTTTACGGCAAATCCTGAATAATATGTTAAAGCAAACGCTGCTGTTGTTTGCAAAGCAGTTTCTAAAGCTTAGTAGTGTTTCATGTCTCCATGCTTTAATGTTCAAAAGGCCCTTTATTGTTCTCATACTGTCTGTGCTGCAGCACCTCTTTTCACCCTCTGTCTGAAACCAGAGCCCAGTCTGCTCTGATTGGTTAGCTGGTCGGCTCTGTTGTGATTGGTCAACCGCTTAGAGATNCCGCATGAGCTCAGCCGCCTCCTTTAAAAAAAAAGCTTTATTCCCAAAATCAGCACTTTTGAAACAGGAAGTGAAATAGGGGGATATGAGGCATAGCTACTAGCTATGCCTCATATCCCCCTATTTCACTTCCTGTTTCAAAAGTGCTGATTTTGGGAATAAAGCTTTTTTTTTAAAGGAGGCGGCTGAGCTCATGCGGGACCCGGCAGCTACTGTCTAAACTAAATACTGC